AATATCTAAGGCGTTCGTGGATACCACGATTTCTCATTTCACGCGTTCCCATATGGAACACACAACGCTTGTTCTATTCTGCCGGTGGAGCGCGAGAGCTCGAAGGCCGAAACGGAGGCCTGTATCGCGGCAGAGGATCGAGAATTTCTCGTCGAGGGTCGTCCCTTCGAAACAAAGGACCTCTTATTTTCCACTTACCAGCTTGACAGCGCCTCTCGACTCTCCGAGTACGAGATTCTCACGTATACCCGCTTACGTGACCGCGGTTCATCGCGGTCGTGATCCCGACAGGTGTACACGCATACTATTTGAATCTTCATTATCGATACAATCGCCGATAGTTTATGGTATTTTAATGATACGCCCCGGGAACTGAATCGTAATTTTCTCCGGTATACGTAAATTCCGTGTACAGTTCGACTCCGATGAATTATTCAAAAGACATCCCTCAAACGAGTTTACGTCAGGTGTTAATAACGGCCTTCCTCTTCTAGTTTCTCCTCGATATCAGACAGGTGTAATTAGCTATTTCAGAACTTGAGTGAATAAATTCGGCTTTCTTTAATTATTCCCGGTGTGACTGAAATTGTAGGTTGAATACATTTGACAAGTGTCTATTAATACTTCAGAAAAAGGGTTAGGTTACTTCTTTAAAAATTCCTCGAACCTTTCCCGAATCACCACGTATCACAGATACAATTTTTCAAACTTGCATTTATCAAAATTAAATTTCACCGTGAAAAGAAAAAAATAAATTGAAGCTGCATCGCTGTAATTTCTCCTTAATTGCATCCTACCCGTAAAAAGCAAAACATTTCAAAGGATACGTGGAAAGGAAATTGCACACGAAGTAGCATCAACGAGTGTACTTTTCCAATTCCCAAGCCACGATGGGCGGCAAGAAAACACGATTAAAAGATGATCATCGGGGGCGGGTAGGTTCTGCGGCACGGTAATTGGGGGACCGGTGGCTGACACCGTTTTATTCGCGCTCGTTACTCCCGCCGCGCCGCGACGTCCTCGCTGATGTTTGGCGCATCGAAACGAAATACAATGAGCCGACACGCGTGAAATTCTGGCTGGTGTCGCGCCCGTGGACAACCTTTCGTTTCGACTTCGTTACAGGGGGCTTAATGAGCGCGTCATGCTCGTTAAGAGGCTGAAATATGCGGCTGTAAACGGAACGCTTCTGAAAGAAGTCTGATTCAACAGCGTGGAGTAAAAGGGAAAACAAAAAATCGTCGACACTGGACGTTGAAATTTCTGTAACGGGACGGTTCACTTGCACACTGCTGAATTTATGTATCGGTAAAATTGCGAAGAATGTAGAAGTACAGATTTGAAGAGGATATATGATATATAGAGAACGACGGAGAGGATACGAATTCAATGGACGTCGAGGGGTTTATTAAAAATTTTCCCAAACGAAATCAATGGTTCGACATGTCAGGGACGTTTCAACGACACTCGAATTTTATTCAACGTTTGTCAAAACATTGAATATTAAATAATTACAACTGAACGAAATTTACCTAGAGAAAAAGAGAAGCAAAAGAAGAAAGCGGGTTTTCGCGATTTCACGTAACAGCTATTTTGCACGATAAAGTGAATCGCAAGATAAAACAATAAAGAATTAGCGACGGCAGTTCATTCACCCACTTCCAACAATGGATTCTTTGAACCTCCACTCTGAAACAAAAATATTTCCACCACTCTGTTCCAGCGTGAAAATACGCCAGACATCAAAGCTAAAGGAAACAGCCCCCGCTCATCAAACGATCCGATAACGCCAATAAATCCCCATCACCCACGATCGAACGCAATCAAAGAACTTCTCGTGGCCGAGTTTAATCGGGTCTGACGATCCGCGGAAAGGGGTGCCACACAAATTTTCAGCTTATTCTGAGAAAATCCAAGGCGACCGTTTCTCGCTTGTGATCCTCGCCCGCTCGGGGAGAGAACGAAACGCGCCACGGCGAAAATACGACGGCATTTACGAGCCGTCGACTCGTCGTCGTCGTCCACTAAGAAAAATAAGTAATCTCGATATTTATCTGAGGCGCCCACGCGAGAGAGAGAGAGAGATTCAACGCCGTCACCCTCCGGATTCAAAGACTTTTCCGTTCCCCAAACCGAACGATTTCGGTCTCTCTGAAGGAATGTTTAAAAAATGACCGGAATAAAACGAAAAAAAAAAAGGGAAGATTATTTCGGTTGCCTGTATATATACATATACACACGTTTGGACGTTGGTTTTCGCCGTGGATAAATTCCAACGTGGCTGGAAGAAGCCTGGTAGCAGGGCGTGGCTCGTTGTACAACCAACGCCCATTTTATGTTAATGTTTCCGCGCCTCTTGATCCTGAATCGTTCGCGGTGGCCCGCTACCGAACAGAAGCCGCGTTGATGGCTTCGTGTCGTCGGGGAAGATCGTGACGGATAAGCTGTCTGACGGTTTAATTAGACGGATATACGCAACGGGTGGTCCGAGAGGTGTTAGCCCGACGAATTTTCTTCGAGCGTGGTGTGTGCTCGAGAAACAGGTCCAACGACCTTTTCAGTGTAACCGTCCGTCGCGTGCTCTAATAGAACAGAGTTTCGCGGTGGTTGTATTAGAAAGGGATTAAATCCGTTGTCAATTGGATATGAACAGTATCGAGAATGTTTCTCGTACTTAATGACGAGTATACTGTTTGCTCTTTGTGCAGAGCCCGCATCAATAATTTTCCATGTATGAATTTAATCCTATTAATCCATTTAAAAAGATAATGCTTCTCGGCTCATTGTGAGTTACGGCCCGAGGTGAGTCATCTGAGTGGAACTCGTTCCTCGTCAACAATTTTTCAGAACTCTTTCTTCGTAAATCAACCTCTTTCTATTCATTTATCACGGTGGATACTTTGTTCGTAAATCATCAGGCACTTGCTGGTTTTGATAAAAATTGTAACCGTGGTAGGGTTTTAATTTCGTTAATCCTTTCGTGACTCGATTATTTTAAGAATTTATCATTTACCTAGAGATGTCTGTGGTGAATATTAAATTCAAGTCAATTTTTCATCGAGTACACCCGAGCGGGACAATCGCCTCTCGCTGGTCACGAAAGGGTTGACAAAGTACGCAATTCGTAACGTACTTTCCTCCTTATCCTAAATCTATTCAAAGTGATAAAGAACATCGCGGACAAACGATTTCCACGAACAAGTACGAGCGTAATCGTGGCTATTTCACCGAATCGACGCGCTAAGCACCGCGAAAAGTAGAAAATGTAATCCGACAATATTGTGCACGAACGATTAGCTCTCGGCGAGCCGCGCGAGAGGTCTGTGCGAGGGATCAGCGGGATAATTTATGCCCGCTCGGCTCTATCTCCGCCGCGCCAAATACGGTCGTTGAAAAATATTAGACGCTTCCCACCGTCACTTTTTCTCCTCCTTTTTCGCGTTTCATTCGGCCGGACTGTAAAGTGGTCGAGCCGTTGACAACCGCACGCCACGGTACCACCGACGTTGTCTGGTCCGGGCGGGAGAGCTGTTACGAGAGATTATTCGTCGGATAAGCCGAGTGTCGTTGTGTAATTAAGCGGGGAACAGGCCTGCGCGCAGCAGGACGAAAGAGACACGAATTTCTGCAGATTTATCCCCCGCTAAAACCACGGCGCGGCTTTCGTTGGGTGGGCCGTTTCGTTTGAACCGGTATTCGTTTCCGGAGACGTGCTCTCTAACGAATGTCGCCACGAGCGAGCGACATTTTCTCCCCCAGCTAACCACGCTTCCACGAAGAATCACCGGTCATCGATACACGGCAATCTCGATTTCCTTTCATTTTTTCCCAACCGGTTCCTCGTCGCGCCACGATCCTCTCCGTGCCAGCTGTATTTAATTAACTTGCTTTATGGCCGAGATTAAACGAATGCGAGAATCAGTGGGATACTTGGCACCGGTAATTTATAACTAATCTTCGGGAATGTAAATTTCGTGGCCACGGCGTAGGTAGAGGAACGTGGAGGAAAAGGGAGTAGAACTGGAGAAATCGTGGGCGAAAAACCGTGTTCCACGTCAATTTTTTCGGTACGATGAATTGGAAACGTCAAAATTGAATAATTCGAGCGGCACGAACTTTCAGACCACCTGCCAATTCACATCAATATTAAATCTGCTGGTAATTCTTTACAAACTTAAAATTGAGGTCGCAGAGATCAATAAGAATTTACACAAATTTCTGCGTAACGTTCAACGCACAGTGATCTCAAACTTTCGACCTGTAGTGTAGAATTGTGAATAGAATAATAGTATAGTCTGTTAACAATAAATTCGAAAGAGATCTATCTCGAGCTACGCCAGGAGGCAGTGGAAAGTTCGAAGAAAAAACTTGTTTGAAATAGCGAGCAGCAGAACACTTTTACCAGCAGCTTTCAACGGCCTGGTAACCAGAGGAAAGTGCGTGCGCCAGAAAGTTCTTTTTCCAACGGGAAATATTTCCCTGCGGCGAAGGTTATTTGAACGCGGCATGTAAATGGAGTCGCTGCGATGGTCGGAGGAGTCTAAGGGGTGGTTAAATTTCGTCGGGGTTCGACCTTCGTGCGATCCGCGGCGTGGTTTCGAACGACCTCGGCTATTCAGCCAGGTACGCGCCTATGTAGGTGAGTCGAAATCGTCTGACCCGCGAGCAAGCACGCGACGACTTTCCCTTCCCTCGTTTTATTGATCCACCCTCCTATACAAATAAGCTCCAAGCACCCTCTCTACGTACTAACTTCCAAGGAAATCCACCTCGTCGACTGGACGTTCACCTCCTTTCCTTTCTCCTCTTCCCTCTTTCTATCCTTTCCTCCTCCCTTTTCTCTTCCTTTGTTCCTCCTCTTTCTCACCACCACCTTCTACAGTCTATTCTCTCTTTCTCTCTGGAGAATCACGATCGTTCTCCGTCGGAATAAACGTCCGCCTTGCGTTCGCAACAAATAAAATAAAAACACACTGCTCGAAAATAATGTTATTGTCGACGGGGCGGAATGACTTGTATTGGTACCCGCCTGCCTTCCTCTTCAGAACAAGTATCACGAAATAGAGGAAGTTCCGTGGAAGTCCACCTACAGACCCTTCCTTTTCCTCAACTTTTCTACGGCGATGATAAATCGCGCGGTAACCAGAAACAATGTCACCAAGTTCAGGTGATTTGTATTTGTTCCGTTTGTCACTGCGGAGTATCGCGTAACTTTGCGAATTCGGTGCACTGCTCCAATTCTTCCTTTCGAAATAAATGTCTGGTACTGCGATCCTATGAGACGATATCAAATCTTAGATTTATCGCGCGAAATAAGGAAACACATTTTCAAGAGAAACTCGAGTTCCGTTTAAAAAATCTTGAGATCTTGAAATATACAAGGCGTAAAAATGGAATTGACGGAAATTAATTTCGCCTCGCCATCGAGATTATTCCACACTGTACGCGGATTGTTACCAGAAGCATATATCACCGTCGCGTCCAAAAATCTCGAGCATCTGGCAAATATATATACGGCGTGTCTCAAAGGCAACGTGAACTTATAACACCCACGTCAACGCAACGGTCGGAATTCTTGGTGGACGCGTGGCCGGTACGCTCGGCGGACAGTTCATTCATCGACGTCACCTCTGTTTCTCCGTTCTTCTCTTCGTCGTTGAATTCGCGAGATTCTCCCGCGAGTGTAACACGCGTAGGAGACATGTATCTCCTACGTTTGTGATAAATGAACGGAGCCCGGTACCCATTGTTGGGGTGTTGCTAATTAAAGTGGTAGGTTCACGGTTACCGATCTATTCTAGTAAATTGCCATCGAAGCAGAACCGCGCTACACACTTTTCACGCGGAGCATACTGCGTCCGAGATTTACGTCTTGTTCACGTCACGGTTTAGCTGCTCGCAGGGAGGAGAGGAGGGCACGCTGTGCAGACTGTCCGCGCAAGGGACCCGCGGACAACCACCACAAATCATTCCCAATAATCCGTACTTTCGCTCGTTTTACGCGTATCGCGCGCCGCCGACTAAATTTAACCGCCACGATTCCGCTTACGCGCGATCTCCTCTCTCCCTCGCGCGCGAGGATCTCCACCGGTCGCTGAATTGTTGCGAGCAGTTAATTGAATTGAATTATGCGCCTCTGTGTCCGGTGCCGCGGCTCCCATGGTCGCGAATGCCAAACACCCGGTATTGATCGTCAGGACTGACCTCTCGCCCTATGTTCCCTCCTTACCTGCTGTTCTTTCAGCACTCTGTACGTGCAATCGAAAAGTAGCTTCTTTCGAAGTGTCGATGAACGTGGAAATTTAATTAGGAATTTTTTATCCATTGAAATTGAGATGGTTGACTGTTTTTTTGATCAAAGAAGCGTTGTTGAGTAGAAAATGGTAGTGTAGTATAACGAAAATGCAAATTTTCCTGAAATTGATGCGAGAATTGAAGTAGGTACACCCGGTATAACGCTTTTGGGCGAAAATAGTCCGATTGGAGGCGTGTTTGGACTTATTTTTATTAGAAACATCTCCTCTATCTGTTAGTGCCAGAAAAATGGAGGAACTTTAAAGTTGAACTTGAAAATTTTAACCTCGAAGGTTCGTTCTAACGAAACAGAAAATGTAACGGTAGTCGAGTGTAAAAGAACGAGAGTAAAAAGTTGCCTCGATCCAAGGACCAGTGTTCAGCATGCAATTAAAACGTGAAAATATTCTTTCAATAGATCCTCTCGAATTACTCTCTAATCCAATTTGTGCGTCACTCTGGCAGCACCGCGTCAGCTTCCCCGAAGCACGCGACACCGCTCGGTTCCCTTCAACGGGATCATGCTTTCAGAAACAGCAAACGCGTCCACGACAGTTTCTCCCCGAACGATGTATTGCTTCCTGGCTCCTCTGTTTCCTTTCAGGCAATAAACGTTCCACCGTAAACTTCGCCTAGCTCAACGTCAATTCGCCGCTCGCGAGCGAGACCGATCGAGCAGCTCACCCGGAAAGGCTAGCAACTGCATAATTCCCGACTTCCGACAACGCGCGACAGTTTATTACACTTCGTCTGAAAGGGACCGGAAGGGAGAAGAAGAAGAAGAAGCCTCCCTTCGCATTTCCTATCTCTTACAGATTCGATACCGCGTCGATACTTTCTTTTCTCTCCCCAAAGCAACGATCTTCGAGAGAAGTTACTCAGACCGTCCGATAAAAAAAAGTGTGTAATCGACGCACACTCGAACGGTGGCGAAGTCGATTATCGCGAGACGCCTTTGAAACGACACGATTACTTACCTCTTCGCCTCGAACGTCCCTGTATCGAACCCACTTGCCAAGCTTCGGCCTCCAATACTCGAGCATGTACGCCTCGGAGTATTCGGCACCTTCGCCGTTACCAAAGCGGCCCTGAGTGCCGGTGGCGGTGATCATATGGACCGTGTGAAGATCGATTTCCAGCCACTCGCGTGGTTCCGTCGTGATCTGCTGCTTCGGGCACCAGGCACCTCCGTGGCTCTCTTGCCTCAGCCTGCAAGGGTAAATATTTACTCTGAGATTACCAGCCTCTATTTCTTCCTTTTTTTCTCTCCTCCTTTCCCTCTCTTTCTTTATATGTGTGTGTGTGCGTGTGTGTGTGTGTTCCTGCTACACCTTCGTGCTAGTCCCTCATTTCCCTCGGAGGGAAAGTTTTTTTTTTTAACACGTCATCCGGGAAAACGGGAACGCTGAATCATTTCCAGGGACAACAGAGAGAGAGAGAGTAGAGTGTTGTAGATCCGTAGGAAAAAATGGAATTCTTTTTATCCTCGTGTCTTTGGGGGGCTTTAATGTGTAACTTAATTTCGAGTATGTACACGATGAGGGCAACTTCGCTGTGTTTGAATGGCGTAATTGATATTTGCACGGCTCGGTGCATTAGCCTGGTTCACTGTGATTCTCTTTTTCTTTTTTTTTTTTCGTGCTAGCATTCTCAAAGAGAAATCGGAGTTCGTAACAGGATTTGAGGAGGAGGAAGGCAAAGTTTGTAGATAATTTTAGTGCGTACACTCGTCTACTTGTGGAATATTTAAAGGACATTTGCATCAGGAATTCGATAAACTGGAAACTTCTACTTTTCCGCGTTAACCACGTACCGAGTTTTTTCACTTTATTCTGAGATACGGCAAATTTGTCCAGAGGACAGTTCTTTAGAATAAGCTAGCAGGTTAAATTCGCGGGACTAATCCTCGCGAGAAGTCAAGCAAGCTTCGAATTTATTCCATTTTTTTTTTTTCTCTATTTCCATTCACTTTTCATTAACTACAATCCGCATAATCCACCCAGAAAAAGGAGCAGCAAAAAGACGAATACTCGTTGCTTCGGATAAATACACTGTACACAACTGGAAAGGCGAATAATCATGATCAATAGCATTCAATTTGTCCGACTGTCAGAGCTAAGCCAATAATTACAGTAAATCCCATCTGCATGTTCAAAACGCTTTTCATCGCGGCGTTCGCTCTTGAGAGCCGTGTATGCAGACGCCGCAATTGACGTACCGATAAGAATCTGGCGATAAGACGGCGGGTAAAGAGAGGATGACGGTATAATCGGAAATGTTACATCGTCGCGGGAAAGGAAATCGTATAAATACGTGATCCTGCCGGTGGCTGACGGATAACCGTCACCTCGCCCCGGCCGATACGGGGTGAAATTATAATTTATCGATCGAGTCGAGCCACCGGATGGCATGAATTAAAGATGAGCTGGCACACCGGCGCGAGAACGCCAGAGAACGGGGAAGCCACTCTTCGAGAGCCGGCTAATAATTGTATTCGCACATACCTTTCGCGGCCTCGTCTGCGGCATTAAAAAGCTCCCCTTTCTCGCCCTTCTGCCGCCGCGCCGCGATGCGACGCGACGCGTCCGTGATTGCCGCGAAAAACGCGCGTCGCAAGAGGAATGTTGGCACCGCTTCCAAGGATCGCGGGGAAAATCGCCGTTCCTCCGACTCAATCGATGAATTCCTCCTCCCGGAATGTCTTACTCTGTGTTCTTATTATCGTTTATCTTATCAACCGATGTTTCGTATCGCGAAGATTTCTGTTTCGCTGAGAACAGTTCACTGTATTTTTGGTTAATTTTCTAGGGTAATATTTTTGGAAATTTGTGGAAAAAATATTTTTTTCAATTTTCTATTAACCCTTTCGTTACTTCTGGTGGTAATGGGCGTTTTGAAAATTTGCTCACACTATTTGCACTTCCACCTTAATTTAATACTTAATTTCATCCTTCACGCACTTCCCCCTTAATCTGATAAACCAAATTTTCGTCGGTCACCCACGTTACGCATTAAACGCTGCCGTAGCGAAAGGGTTAATTCGAAAATTGAGGAACATAGAAAAGTTTTTACTTATGAATGCGTCATGCCCTGTTTCCTATTCCACCACGATAAATTATTCAACCGAGAGCCTTGGAATTTCCATTACACACTGTATGAACATTACAAAACACCTCTCTACCGATGAATTAACAAAGAACATCTAACACGAGAATACAAAACGACGATAAAAAATATTGACGCTTAGTTACATATGCTCTCTCCTCGCAACAAAAGGTGAAAGTGGCGAGGAAGCAAGCAACGTGTTGCCACTTCCACCGAATCGAACTTCCCTTGTTTCTCCTTTGACGCGACCAACAAACAAGCAAGTTCCCTGCTTGCTCTCGCCTAGTCACTTTCAAACTCAATTTCAACAATAAAAAACGAGAAGTCAGAGAGCTAGAGGAGAGAGAGGGCAACAGAGCGAGGCTCTCTCCGGGCCAAGATTACTTTCGAACAGCACCGCCCCAAAGGGCGCAAAGAAGCCGTCGGGGCGTCGCGTCTGAAACAGCCTCGAAACGGCGAACACACGAGGCGAAGAGGGAAAAAGGCGCGCAGGAACCGAGAGTAGGCCGGGCCGAACGAATTCATCGGGTCCAAGGTTGTAGACGCGTTGCTTCCCTCGGCGAAAGTGTTCGCAATAAAAGAGCTCAGCTACCAGGCTCCTCTCAAGCGTCAGAATTTTAAGCGTTGCTTTGACGCCGCGTAGAAGCGAGCTTGCGTGTCCCTGAAGGAGAACGAACTCTCGTACGTTCTGGAAGTGAACGAAGCAAGGAGGTTGTACTGTTGCAACGTCGAAAAGAACGAACCGGGATAAAAGGGAGTAGAGAGACAGCGAAGGAAATGGAAGGAAACAGGAGGACGAACGGGAAGCAAGGTAAATAGGGGGACGAGAAGGGCGATGGAGAAAGGGAGGATACGTAGAGCAACGGGCGAAGGGCTATAACTCATAGCCCATTAAGTGAGCTCGAACTGCCTTGGCTGCCACTTTGATACAGTCCAGGGCATCAAAGACATTCCGCTGTGGCTCGCGCGCCACCCGGCTCCGCGATAAATCTCCGCGCGGACGATTACGCAGGCTTCAGCTGCGAAGCCACGTCGGCGAAATCGCCGAAAGCGTGGCCCCTTCTTCGCGAGACGAACGGGCCGATTATCGAGAGGAATGGTTTGTCGAACGCGGGGAGAACGCGCGAGTCACTTCTACACTCTCCGAGTTCGTTGGTTCGGCGCGAGAGCCCAGGACTTACGAGCCGTCCCGACGGAGATGATTTGTCGCCTCCGGCGACAGCGGAAACGGCCTCTCGTTCTCTCTTCGCGAGAGTCGCTACAACCGTTGCTTGCGCGGGTCTCGTTCGATGAAAATGTTCTTCCGTGAACGTGTCGAGTCTGGACCGGGAGCGACGTTTGTTCGCCGTGGCACGCGAGCACCGCACGAACGAGAAGACAAACGATGGTTCGCCGAGACTGCTAGGTTGGGAGCCCAACTTGCTCTCTTATTTACACACGGCGGATTTCTTTGTGGAAGTTTGCGAAATTTCGGGGGCTCTTTGGCGCTTCCCTTTCGAACACGGTCAAATGAATTTTGGGTTAATTTTATGTAGGAATATTTTTCTGTACTAACTTTGAATTTTAATGCGTTCTGCATGGGTCGTCGAATGATATTTACGGTCATTCTAGTAGGTATCACAGAAAGTGACCCACATTATTTTATAATATCTTAGGAGAAAAGAAGTCGGATATTTAACAGGTGAAAAGATGAGAAACTGAAAGATTAAGTTTGAATGATAATGAACACCGGTATATTTTATATATTTTGGAGTTTATCTTATCAGCTAATGCATTCGGTTCTTTTCTACGTAGAAAAAGCTAAAAAATACTGGAAATATAATACACCCATCAATAACGAATACGCGTATAGAGTGAATCGAAGATGATATCATCCCTATTTCTTAATACCCAAATAAACAAGTTGGAATTCTTGTGAATGCTGGTAACAGAAAGTATGAAAAGTGGAAAATCCATAGGACTGGCTTTCATTCGAAACGTACGTCCCCGAAGAGCCCGGTTTTCACGAGGGTATCTCAAAAAAGGCGACCGTAGTACACGTAATACGAGTTAGATTCGCGTATTTTAGGGTAAACGGGAGTCGTATGGGGTAAATAGGGTATTCACCGGGAAGCCCGTAGTATCAGGAAGCCATGGAAATGCCGTTGAAGAAGGTCTAGACGGTCTCTACCGGTAAAGAGTGTGTGCACAAGCGACGATATCGGCATTGCATCGAAAAGGCTTTCCTTGCTTTATATCACGGCCGAAAAAGAAGAGAGAAAAGAAGAAAAAAGGGAAGAAGAAGAATGAAACGAGAAAACGTCGCGATACCTTCTTACACGTTAAACCTCCAATTATCGTAGCCAGCATTAGCCAAGCTTTTCAACGAAATTCCCCGGACCGTAAACATGTTCGCGCCTTTTCGTCGCGTTTCTCTGAATCCCACTGAGCCGCGTATACATAGTACACACGGTGACGCTTTAAAAGCCCCAGGACCACCCATCGTTATCAAAGAACTTCGTAAATGTCAAGCATGTTAATAAAATATCTCTTCTCGGCGAAGAGGACACGCTTAGAACAGGTAAAAATAGGAGAAACTTGCATGCCATTTCGAATGAATATTAATTTATCCTTATCCTTTTTCTCCATTACGCCAATCCTAGTAGAATGTTGTGACATTCTACTTGGGAGATCCTGTCATTTTTTATCATCTACGATGTTTCAATATTCCTGGCAAGCGTAACCTTCGAGACGCGAATATATCTTCCATTATACAAGTGAACAACGATCTTCACGTGAACGTTATCGAGGAACGTTAAAATCTTCCATGTGGCAGATTTTATTGAAACGATTCGCGGAGTTTGATGTTTGTTATCGTCACGGGTGGTCTCCCTCGTTTCAGAGGTATCGTAATTCGAATATACTCTCTCTGTATCTGTATCTGGCTAGAATATTCCACCAGAGCTGATCTCTTTGGACTGGTAATTAGCCAGCAGGTATAATCAAAGGAATACGCGGAGACCACGTTAACGATGCCTAAGAGCTTGGTAACGTTCGATACAAATGGCCGTGCATGCGGGACATCCCGCGTCATTAATCCTCATTGCGGCTTGAAGGCCGAATTAGACGTGCAGTTTAGTAGTCGGTGATTAATACGGTGACCGGTCGAGTCCCGATCGTGAGCTATCTCGGCTGTAGACAGGATGACGGACAGGAAGAGGATCATCCGTTTAAAGCCGTAGAAAGCATTCAGAGTCAGAAATGTTATCGTGCCGCACGAGCCCCGTTCCGCGCCGTTCCTTTTCTTTTTCTCGTCGTCGTTCCAACTCTCCCGCCGCACAATCGCGCCCGCCGCATCAATCTGCATCGCGTTTTAAACCGTCCATCAACCTGATAAATCCGTTTCGTCCACGAAAAGAACGCGGCGATATTATTTATCCGTCTGACAAATTTAATCTTCGATTGTACTCGATAGGGCCCCGCGTCTACTCGGTCTTGTTAACAGGACAATGCTGTTACACTGATTTTTCGACGAGATTTATGGCGAAACTTTGAAAAAATCAATCTTTCGTCGAAAATTTGTCAGGAAAGAGTTCACAGCAGAAATTCGAATATTTCAATGTTATTTTTCAACGGAAGCTTCGAAATTTCGTTATAATTTTCAACGCGCTTGCATTTCACGGAACAATTTTCGAGTTCTCTTGTGAAGCGTAACAGAATCTTTCCCCCCTCCCCTGTAGATCGCCTGCAATTCACCCCCGAATAGATCGGTTAACGAAGCGCGCTGATTTCGGGAAATTGCATCTCTGTTGGCCGGGCGCGACGCACAAAGGGGTTAATTTTATCATATTTCCGAATGTGTATTGCATCGCATCTGCATAATGCGCTCTATAAACGAGACGGTAATACACGGTAATTCACTCACCGTCCGTGATGTGGCCCGACGTTTCCGCTATCGAAACTCGAGCTCGCTGTGATGTCTGCATCGGGAATCGCACCAGATTCCATCCCCAGGGGTCCGATGCATTGTGCTGCAAACAAAGGAAATTGCTTTGATTATATACACGTCCGTATTCGTTCCGCGTGCACTTTCACCCTGAGGAGAGCGTGATTGCTATTCGAACGCTTTAATTGTCCCGAACAATTATAATGTTAATTATAACGTGTGTGTGTGCGCGCGTGCTGGCGTTTCTCGCAAAGTGATCAGCATAATTTTCTTTGTAAACCCCCTTTGTAGACGGAATAATCGACGAATAACATTCCGCCTTCAAACGGGGCGTTAGAAGTATCTCGAAGTTTGTCGGACGATTTTAAAGTGAATTCTTTTATTTACTTTAATTACATAGTCACGAAAACACTTCTACCGTCCAATTATAGGAAGCCCGAAGTGTTGGAAAATTTAATTTAATTTCAATTAAAAAAAAATAAACACTTATGTTATTCGTTTACTTGTAATCGTCAAATACAATTATTTTCTGACACGAAAATAGATTATTACCAGCCTGCACGTGTTGCTTTATGAAAAAATAAATAAAGTGTCAAACTTTATAGATATTATTTTACCCTCCCTTGGGTTTCCTACACGATTGATATCTTTTTAGGGACAAAAATAAAACGATCTTTCAAAAGCCAGCTGTAAGAGTGCAGCTTCTTTCATTGAAAAACATACAATCGTTACAACAGTAAGTTAATTACTCCGCAGAATAAACACGAACTTGGTCAAACTAGAAATATTTCAGCGTTCCATTTCAGGGAAGCAAGATTTCGAAGGGTAAGAGCACTTCACAGAGCGACCGAACCGCGCACAGTACACGTATCGAGCGGGAACATACTCTCTCTACCAAGTGCACCATCTGTTTTCGCCGGTCGGTTTCATCGTCAGATGATATCCGCGAGTTTCACGCCGTTATTTTCGGCCGAACACCGTGCAGCACCACGGTTCATCGAGAGCGATCATTACACGTTTCGAACCGGGTTCTCTCCCCCGTTTCTGTTGCCTCCGCGCAGCCTCTAACCGAGCGGCGCGCGATTATGTTGCCGGTGGAACAGGGAGGTCTCACCGCCGGCCAACGTCGTATATTTTTCGCCGACGCGGTGGTGTTGAGCCGGCGATAATTGCGATACCGTGGCACGATACCGAGAAACGCTTTTCAATCACCGAGTCCGAGGCGCGAGAAACATTTTCGACGATCCGAAATTACACGTCTGAACTGGTTTTCTCTACGGTGCTGGAACACGCGACGCCAGAGCGACAACGACCATGATCCAGCCCCGTCTCGTCGCGTCGCCTCGCCAAACACGTGCGAATAAAAACGACTCGCGTCGTTCTACGATCCCACCAGCCCCTCCGCCATCACGGTGAACCATCAAAGCTGGGATCTGTTTACTCTGACGCGTGAAATCGGACTTTCTCGGGAATATCAACCGTACGTTTAGCGGGAAAATCGTGCGGCGAGGCGAACTCGTTCGCTGTGCAACGGAAATCTCGATAAATCCGTGTTCGCCGGTGAATTTCGGAATGGCAAGGGAACGACAGCAGTTTCCTGAAGCGGCTACGACAGCGTGAAACTGCTATCAGGATCGTTTATTGCTCCGACGATCTTAAATTCACGAGGCACGTCTCGAGTATACAAACAGCGTTTGAGGGGCCATTTGAGGGTTTTAATTATTTGGAAGAGTTATGGCGTTAATTATAACGCCGTGGCGCTTCTCGGAACCGTCGTTCGAGCTGCAGCACGTGAGGAAAAGCTGTTCATACAGAACGTCGAGTGAAAAGGAGGAGACGTTGTAATGAAGATAATAATAGTTTCTTTGGATGAAGGCAAGGTTAAATTCCCTTTGCTTCCAAAGTGAGTTTCGCATTGAAAGTGTGATTTTCGAGAGTACGCTTTTTATCTTTATACTCAATTTCCTTATTTTTCAACAAAGAATAAGACTGGTGTGAATGAATACAGAAACGAATTTTCTTCAATTTCTGGAAAATCTTCATTTTCGAAAATTCACCTGTAGACGAAGTTAATCTTCCTTCTCACAAGACGAATAAAAAATAGCAAAAACGTACGTGTATTAAAGTAACTTTTAAGCGTACCTACACATTTTATCCTGCATAAGCTACATGTTCAAGCTCCGATGGTTTTTTCGTCTCCCTTGCTAAAAACAAGTTTAACCTCCATCCTGAATGCTGCTCGAAATAATTTCAGATTATAAATGTAAATGTAACAAAGAGTAATCTCGAGAGGGAACTTTTTAACCCCCGTAAGATTACATATTCAGCGAAGTAAACTCGCCGGTTCTTCGTATCTCGTAAAAACCGACAGATGTCGAAAACTAAACTTCCCGTTTCCTGATAAAAATATTTATCCGTTCGCCGCGCACCCGCGAGTTTTCGTTATCTTCGAAAGTCTCCCCCGGGCCGAGAAAGAAGCAGCTTCACTCGCGACCGGTTCATTCCGCGAGTCCTAATCCGCCGGCGCGAACTTTCCTCGTAAATAAATTTTTAACGAGATACACGCACGGCTCGCGGGGTCGCGGCTCCGTACGAGTTTTACGACTCGACGGCTGCTTATTTCTGGTAATTAACTTTTCTACACGGGGCCACTTGTTCCCGGGAGTTCAACCGACACGCGCACAACACCGTTTTTTGCCGTACGGAATTTCTTCGCCGCCGCGTTTCTTCCCTTTCTTCCGTCGAAGAAACACGTCCAATACGATTTTACAACGAAATCCATACAGCCTGATCGTTTTTACACCGAAACCGTCCCACCTAACCGGTGGTTCGACGAATTTACGATTTTTCGGCGTTACCGGCAGCCTGAAATTTCGGGTAATAAAACTGATTGCAACTCCGGTGTTACCGCGGTAGAATTATTATCGTAAGAAAGGCTTATACGTTGCTTGGAGGTGTGGTAGAATTCGAGAGAACTATTACGCAAATGGAGCAAACGACGGGTTGAACGTGACGGTCCCTTGATTGATTGTTTAGACACGAGATGTAGGAGAGGAAAAACGTGTGAGTGGAGAAGGTATTTAGGAGAGTGATTAGAGGAAAGCCCTGTTGTGAAAGAGTGACAGGAGAAAGGAAAACACAGGGCCGAGATTACAAGACACATTCGAACAAACACGCCACTCTTCGTAATTCAAGTGTAGTTAGTAAAAATAAAGCGGGAGATTGGACAGGCCACTTGTGTCTGGTGACTCAACCGAAACCATAACACACACTCTCAACTTCTATTACTCGTTGGGAATTGTACTACTCTCGGATACTTAGCTAACTTAAATTCAACGGAGTAACATTCCCTTCAAATCCAATCGCAAGTTCGCTAATTACACTTTTCAAATAAGCGAAAAAAGGTTGTGGAGTTTGCGAGAGGAAAAAGAAAGTCACCCTTCGGTTCGACCATGAATAAAACAAATGGATCGACATTCCCGAACGATTACGATCGTTTACACGCGACTACCAGCACCCTTTCATCCCCGTTATCGAGGAAGGATCCCGCAGGAACAACGAAGGGACTCGTGTTGGCCGGTGGCGTGGGGCACAGGCAGGTTCGATCCTCGTATTTATAGACATCCTGGAAAAGAGCAGAGAAACGAGAGAAGAAGAAGTAAGTTATGCGACGTTTGGCCCGCCCCAGCCACTCATTCGGCGACCATAACTCTCGCGGAGTGACAGCTCCGAACGGAAGGGTGTGTGCCGCCCTCCGTCCGCGAGAAGAGGGAAATTGAATGCCTTTGCAACCCCTCCTCGCGACTTCTTCTTCTTCTCCACTCTCTCTCTCTCTTCCTCCGCCATCTGCTCCTCCTTCTTCCACTCTTAACCGCGTCACTGTCAAATTGATAACCGCTTTCTTTCGCCCGCGACGGGTTAGAAATCTTCTCTCTCTCGTGGAGACTTCAGCTTCT